TCTGCCGAGAGACTCAGCAGGTCTTTATTTATTCATTATTAGTAATAATAATAAGAAAATACATTATCATGTGTAAAGTATAAACAATTAGTATATTATGTTTCCCATAGACTACTGGCCCCTGCAGGTCTCAGCTAGACGGCAGCTTTCAAGGTTAACAGATAATAAACCAAACCTAACATTAAAGCTACTTATTTTTTCATTCAGACAATTATTTAAAACAGTGAATAACTGCCAGTGCATCCCTATCAGCTAAAGCCTAAGCATCAAAGGACTATTCTATTCACATGACCTTCAGCCGGAGACCAGCTGCAGTTCAGCTATCAGAACTTTTTCTACCTAGAAATTCCTTAACTCAAATAGCTTCATATTAAAAACTTTCCCAAGAAACTTCAAGAGAAAACAAAATAGAAGGACCTGCTATGATTATTGTATTGTAATGCTTGTCAGGCATATTCAATAAGTTGTCTTCCATTGTCAAGTAGGCCAAATTGTTTAATAATTAGTTTCTAATTTTCCATGCCGTTTATTTGCAATATACTGATGCATATAATATAGTGCCTAATGTACTTTTTTGGGAAATTTTTTTCTTATTTATGACCAAGAACAAAAAGTGAAGGAATGTTACATCTTCAACCTCACGGTGTGAGGCACAAGGAATCTTCAGCCCCACGGTGTGAGGCCCTTTGGCTTCGGCCCCACGGTGTGAGGCCCTTTGGGCTTCGCTGCTTGCCAGTGTCTTATCTGGCTGGGGCATCAAGGCCTCCTGCAGCAGTTCAGGACAGTCATCTTGAAGAAACCCCTTTGTGTTGTATGCAGTGTGCACACAGTGCACGCTCTCTCTCTCTCTCTCTCTCTCTCTCTCTCTCACACACACACACACACACACACTTATGTATAAAGAACTGGGAGAGTATGTCATCCCAAGCATGACAAAAAGAACCAGTGAGCTTGGTTGCTGGGCTTTTCTAGGGAGTATGCTATGATTCACAATGAATTCCATTTTAGAATGAATACTTTTAAGGACTGGCACAGGATCACTTTAGCTATGTGTGCATCTGTTATACTGTATATTGCATCGATACAGTATATATTATAAATAAGATATATTATAAATAATTACTTATATAGATTTTATTGTATGTATGTATATGGTACATGGGAGGGAAGCTTGTTATTTTTAAGTCTTCATTGTCCTCTCGCTTCTTTAAAGAAATTATTTTCAAATTACAGAAGAAATACAATATGTGAAGATTTAAAGGGTAAACATCTTATACCCTGATAACTGTAATTCTAAATATTTTAGAGAAACATATGCACATGGATGCAAAGAGGTTTATGCAAAGACATTCATAGCAGCATTGTTTGTAAGAGTGGAATATTAGAAATTACCTTAATGTCCATCAATAAGAAAAGGAATAAACCATGGTCTAGCCATTCCATGAGAAGCAATATAGTAGCAAAATAAAAGATCGCCCTGAGCATGTTGACATGGAAAAGTCCCCAAGGCATACTGTTGCCTAAAAAGTGTGATCCATAGAATAACATAATTTTCTAATAGTACATGCATTTGCATAAAAAATGTGAGCGGAAGCCTAGAATCAAATACATCAAAATGACAGCAGTTATTAGCTCACATTACCTTTGGCAGTGGGTGGTGAGGTGGGAGACAAGATGGAGGGTTAGAGGCTTGTTAGACTTTTGTTACATGATAACGTTTTACATAAAAATTCTTTCCTGCATTGTGTGATTTAAATTAAGTTTTAAAAAATAACATACGATTGTCTAACTAACCAAATAATAAAGGAAAAAGTGATCCATTCCCCTTTCTTCTCCATAATTTGCTTATATCTTCCCCCTCGTTGGTGAACATTTTGGTTGTTTTCTTTTTTTTTGCTTTTGCAAACATTATTGTAAGCAAAACAAGATGTTTGATTGTTTTGATCCGTTTGCTTTTTTTTTTAAAATCCCGTTCTATTATTATTTCTGTTGTGTAGATTCTAAGCACTGTGGTCAGGGAGTAGAATACTTAAAATGTTGATAGATGCCACCAAATTGCCCTCCAAAAAAGAGCATACTAATACTTAATAGAACAGTAGCTTTGTGTTAACTCCCTATTTTACATTATCAAAATCTCAACAATAGCAGCTACTTTCAGATAAACTGACTCAGTCACAGTCAATAGCGGACTTAATTTCCTTCCCCATGCCTGTTGACCATTGGTAGGACAATTGCAGTATCTCACCACATTAGCCAATCAGTGAAGGAAACTAGAACAGGTGGTAGGGGAAGGTTGAGGCTGGTAGCAGCCTAGTTCTGCTGAGACCATGAAGCAGAGACAAACTAATGACTCATGGGCCATGTTGACCACAGACATGTTTTCTTCAGCCTGTACAATGGCAGGTTACAACCGTGTCTAAAAGAATCAGAATCTTTGCCAAGCGTTAAGGAAGCAGGCCTAAATCCACATTCACATTCCCTTTCATGTGGTTCTCCATGTGAACAATCAGCAAGTCATATAATATTCTTGATCTTTACTTTTTTTACTCATCACTGCCCCAGGTCAAAACAAACAGGGGTGATCACAAAACAAAAAGGGGGGATCACAATGGGATATAAATAATATGGGTGGTTTGGTGGTGCGTGTGTCATGGTGACACCACCTGAAAGGGGAGATGCTATGCTTCTAAAACAAAACATTGTTTATGAAACAATGTTACCCTCCAAAAATAAAATATTAAAAATATTTTGTAAGGACCACAGTATAAGCTGAATTGATGCTAAACATACTTAAGCAATTTAAAATAAATATACACCTTAATTTTTGCCTTCAAAAAAGAAACAAATTCCCTGACTAGTTAAACAGAGCTGCAAAGGAACTTCCTCTAAGGTCCTCACCATTCATGCATCTCAGAGTGGGGATGGTTGCCCATGTTTTGTGACTTATAGGAAAGACAGATACCATAGCAGTGTCAAATGCCCGGCGTCATTCCTGAGACCCTTGGAAACCATTTTAGAAAGAGACGCTCTTTCTGAAGCAATTAGGGGTCATTTCTCACTATGCCTGGATTGATATATCCTGCAGACCCCAGGAAGACATGGAGTGATGGAGTGACAGGAAGCGGGACCACAGTGAGAATTAGAGAGTTTGCAACTAGACAAGATGGACTAGAGTCTCCTGGACCGCTGAGGTTAATGCATATGGATGGCAGCCATCTAAATCTTGTAAGGGCTGAATGTTTGACACGCAAAGTTCAATTTTACTGAATTACTAGTCATTGACCGGATTGTAAGAGAGCAGGGAGTCTCACAGTTCCACCCTGACTCCTGAGTGGGAGGCTGGGGTGCAGCAGAACAGCGTCTCTTGTTTCTCCTGCTTCAACTTGCACCCTGGGGTCTCAGCTCAGGCCGTGTTGCTGGCAGGACACGTTGGCCAATTAATCTCTCTTCTCCCTCTTCCCACTCCCCTAGTAAATCAATCTTTTTTAAAAATAATAAGTAAATAAATAAATGACAGAACAGGCAGGCAGAGCTTGGGGCTTTTCCAGCTGGGTCTGCTTCCCGCATGTGTCTCCTGCTTGGACCCAGGCCTCAGCTGCCTGGAAACTCTGAGGTAGGACAAAGGGCATATAGGCTCATGCTGGCCAGGACATTTTCTTTTCTTTTTTTCTTTTTTTTTTTTTTTTGTAGAGGCATTTTTTTTTATTTGTTTGTTTGTTTATACAAGCACTGGGTACAGCCAGAAGCGTGGGAGGGTGAGAAAATTCACCAGGGCCAGAGCAGGGAGCAGAGCAGGCAGAAGGACCGAAGCACACTGCTGAGGGGAGCAGCGGGTGGCAGGAGAGGTCTGCGCGCCATGTGTGACCCTCCTCCTGTGGCCGGGGAGCAGCCGGGGATCGAACCTGCGACGCAGAGGCTGCAGGCAGCTTCGCAACCCAGCGCTCAACTGCTGCGCCACCGGGGAGGCCCAGGACATTTTCTTTTCTTATGCTCACTCCCCCAACTCTTATCTCCTCACTCCTTGTGTTTTAATAAACACCGTTTTCGCCTCTGCTTTTGGGTCATGTCCTGTATTCTGAAGCTTGCAGGTGAGGACCCACCAACTCAGTCATTTCCGGAACCCCGGGTTTGCCCTGGTTCAGTATAAACGTCTTTAGTCACAAATACAGCTCCACCTTCTGGATTATTAAACAAATTTCCTTTGGACAGATTCTAGCACATGGGTAAAATTTTCAATTGGTCTCTCAAACTTTGTTGTCTCCTATAAGAAAAACCTAGTTCCTTTGTCATAAAGTCAGATTTTTCTCCCATGTTTAAAAAACTGTTCTCAAGGATAGACGGGTTTTTTTTTCTTTTTTCACTCAATCTCTGAAAATATAATCTTCAGAATTGTAAGATTACTTTATAAATGTGATGAATGTAGGTGGTGAAAATGCCTTCTGTGACTCATAATTAGATAACACCCGACTTGGAAAGAGAGTAGAAAAGTACTTTTTACTAGAGAAATGTAATGAGCTGTTGCCATCATTTAAGGCAGCATACTGGTACTTTACAAACATAAAATTACAGCTTTATAAAAATCCCAGTTGGTACTTACATTTGAATACCCTAATTTTACAACCTAAAGTCTTTAATTAAAAAAAATAATAACAGCAACAACTCAATTGCAAGTTGACAAATAGGACAATGTTCCTTGCCAAAAATAGTCATTAAAAGCTAACAAATAGTTACAGAATGTATTCTACACTGGCTTTTTAAAATAAAATTTGGTGTTAAAATGATAAAATAAAAGCTAATAGATAAAATAAAATGATAAAATAAAAGCTAATAAAATAGAAGCTAATAATTATGCCGGAATGGTGAATACTGGGTGTGAGTTGCTATTTTAATGGTATTTACTCTGTGCAATATATCTGTGTCTGACCTTGATTTCTCTTCCTTATGACTCTTATTTAGAATCTCTTAAGAGTAAGCAGAATGCCATTATTTTAATTATTCAATGATCATCCAGAAGCAAAAGTACAGCACAAGAAGGTAATCTTTATTATAGTTTAAGTAGGAACAGAGCAGATAGCAAGTTCACGAGGTATTTTTGATTTTTATTCTTTTAAAATCAGGCTTCAATGATGATAATCAAAAGCGAGCCTTAACTGCACAGATATTTTGATCACTATGATAATCTTCAAGGGCACAAAAGCCTGTAGCATAAAGGAACAGAAAGGTAATGACTATGAGCATTTTTGATGTGACAAAAATGGAGATCATGGCATTAAACTCTATCCTTGTATTCCATGAGATTCTTCTCAAACACCGAACAATTACTATTACTCAGCAAAATATCAAACATGCATAGTACGCCTACCAGAATACAATCTCATTGTCAATACCAATCTTATCTTTTCCCCCAAACTTCAGATTCATGGTTCCACTCCCTAAATGTATTAGTATTAGTGGTAAGACGCAAACTTGACTTTGCTTTCAAGGTTACATAGCAGATTGACTTCGCATTTGGTGCCCAGCTGTGTACCCTATTTTTTCATCTTTTATTTCTTAATAAATTCAACTACATTTCATTAGCCCTGAGATAGTCAGTAATCTGCTTGTGATTGTACACTTGTCATTTATACTTATTCCACTCAATTTGAACCCCACATAAGTATTTAAAGTTGTTTGCAGACGGTTGTAACTAAAGCAATGACAAAATTTATACTTGGTTAGGCTACTAAGAAGGCCTTTAACTAAGAGTTGCATATTTTTATGTATTTTCTACTTGCTAGGAGCAATTCTTAAAATTACATCTATAATTCTCTGTCAATAATAAGTGCATTTCATTTTGCTCACTTCTGCTTAGACAGATTCACTTTTTGCTTCTCCTATAAAGCAACATTTTTTTTTTCTTCCCAAAACAGAATGTTAGTTATCTAGCTGAACAGGTGCCAAAAAAAAAAAAAAAAGCTTAGACTCTGAACAGCAGATTGATAACTATGATAATGCCTAGCAGAGAAAGATGCTCATAAGAGGAACTGAATACATGTTCCTTCTACATGGAATGAGTGAATTGTAAGGTTGCTGTTAAAGTCATGCGTTTTCATCACATGTTATAACTAATTTTGCTGAACTAGGGAATCCAGGTTACCAGATTTAACTCCTCTTCATATGTAAATCCAACCTTGAAATTTAACAAAATGGATTGAACAATTCTCAGGAAAGTAAACAAGTCAATAAAAATCGCTTTTCTATAGTATTAGTTGGAAGAAAAAACCAGAATTACTTTTCACTAAATCATGTCCAACCAAATGAGGAGAAAAAGGAAAGAAGTGTTAGCTAATACAATTTTCTCCATATTTCTCCTTGCAGTGTTTTGTTCATACATTTATTTTTATTAATATCTCTAGCTGAACGTGAATTTTATTATCTAGAGGAATTTCCCCATCTCCTTAGGTATATATGATTAGCGAAAAGCTGGTGTAAATATGAGACTGTATTTTCAGATCATGCCATATTTCTGTATTTGTCTTTTGCTAACACTAAATGTCTCCTGTTTAAGTGATGCTGTATAGAATATGAGATAATCTGCCAATTTACTGAGACTGCTTGCTTATAATCAGTTTTTGTTCATAGCTTTGAAACATTCGGCACACCTGTCATCCTACATATTAATAAGGAACAGTTACTGTTTTCAGAAAAGATCACTGATAAATTCTTCAGTTAATTGCTTTGACCAAACATTTTTAATTGCTTTGACCGAACATTTTTACTAAATCACAGAACAATAGCGATGGCGAAAACATTGACGATGCAGTTCATGGTTCTGTTCTCCCATCTTACAGTACAGGTTCCTGAAAACACACAAAAAAGGACCTTGAAATACCAGCACAACATCACAATTACCAGGGGAAACAGATGTATGTGTTTTTTCATAGGTTTTTAAGATCCTATTTCCTGCAATCTGGCAAATCTTTACATTTCATATTTGTCTGAAGGCGTACTTGTTACTAGGTACAAAGCAATTCTGCTGATAAAGTCTTTCCAGAACTTAACTGGAGATGAAGAAGCACTGATAATAGGTGTCCTGTTCGACTTTGCTAAAAGTTGGTTTTGTTTGCATAAGCTTAGTCTCTTACCATCAGAGGTGGTATCCCAGAAACATGAGCTGGCCGTGTGGAAGCCATACGCACTCCTCTGGGCCACAGCACAGGTCACTGAAAGCAAAGTTGCCAGTGAGAACACTTCCAAAGGAAAGAGAGCTCAGATCTAAGTGCGCGAGTTTAGCGGTCTAAAATTTGTTAAGGGCCTCCCCAGTGGCGCAGCAGATTGAGCACAGCGTTGTGATGCTGTCTGCAGCCTCTGTAGCGTGGGTTCGATTCCCAGCCAGCCAGGGAGATTCCCACATGACGAGGCAGACCTCTCCTGTCTTGCCCGCTGCTCCCCTCAGCAGTGTATTTCAGTCAGTCTGCCTGTTCTGATCCCCACTCTGTCTCTGCTGAATCCTCTCACCCTCCCGTGCCTCTGGCCTGTACCCCAGCTATTGTATAAATAAAAAATAAATCTTCAAAAAATTAAAATTTGTTAAATGACAGAAAACATAGCATAAGACAAACAGACTGAAGAAAATAACACTCTCAATATCCATAATTTTGATTATCAACCACCAGCATTTTGGCTCCATTGTATTCAGTCTGTCTGTTGCCTGGGGCCTTAATCGCTGGTGATTGTACTGCAGGAAAATTCTGGATTGAATTATAGGTCTTGTCCCATTGGCATAATTAGATGCAAAAACAAAGAAAATATTTTACTTTACGATTTTTGTGTGGCACTCCACAATGCTACATGTAATGAAATGTGGGGCAGCATAAAGAAGACTGAGCCGAGGGGGTTTCGGTGGAGAGAAACAACTGATCTAAAAGTAAAAGGCGGTGTTACCAAGGACAGCTAAGTGGCTGGCAAGAGCTCAAACTGCTTCTGGGCAGTGAAACAGCTCCACCCTTTAGGTATTAACATATATTGCCCTTGGGTAAGAAAGTAGGAAATCCTTTATACTCAATTAGTACCCAACTTGAGTGTCTATCATTCATTTACATTCTCTAAATTCACAGAACAACCACAAGGACAAAGGAGAGTAAACTAAGGAGGAAAGACACTGACACTTACCAATATATTTATAAGCTTTCCCCAACTTAACCAAATGTGCTAGGGATTGCTCCACGATGCTTGCGGTCCATTGGTTAATGTTGTTCTGATTGTAATCCTCACCACCCAAGACGCCATCTATACACTAAAAGGGCAGAGGGCAGAGAAACAAATTACATACAAATTGCAGCAAAAATTGTATTCAAAATATAAAATACATTTATAACCCAATAGAGCATTTAGAAAATACCCATCTGATATTTATTATGCACTGTTTCAAATTAAGAATTTTCAAAGCATTTCCTCATGCATCATCTCGCTCTATAAGATACTATAAGTGACATAAAGATAAATATGACATGGTATCTGCTGTAGAGAACTAAATCTAGCAGAGCAGTTAATAAAAGACTCCACACAAGGAAAACTAATCAAGGGTGGTAAGTTATATCACAAAAGGATTATGAAGTAGGGGTAGAGATTTAAAAAGGGTGGCAACAATTGATTAAAAAAATAGCTTTGAAGCAGCTGGGATTTGAACTAGAAACAAAGAATGAGACCAATTTTAAAAAGTAATTCTCATGTATAATAATTACATTCTCATTCATATTATGCAATTGCTTGGCTATATAACGACTAGCACACTGGCCACTAAAAGTCAATCAAAAACACTACTTTTTAGATGCTCTAGTCAGAAAGAGTTAAATAATTTTCCACAGAGCTTACTTGCATCCACTCTGAAACCTGACTGAGAACAATGGTTTAGTAACACAATCTTAGTGTTTTTAAAAATTTATTTTTTTTATTGAGGAAACATCGGTTTGCAATGTTGATTGTTTTTTAGAGGTATTTGATCTCCCCCTTGGGGTGCTGTTACTAAACCACACCCACCACCAAGGCACCCATAGTCCTCTACAGTGCTCTACTATAGTCTACTGAGCTCCCTCCCCAAGTTGTTCCTGATCCTTTCCCTCCGCTACACTAGTCGCTTTTTCTATAATCAACTTGCTAAGATCATGTTTCCCTTTGAGGAATACAAAAACACTAATGCAAAGGGAAACACAATTTTAGGTTTTCAGGTAATCTCTGCCACCTACTAGCTGTGTGACCTTTTGCAAGTGACTTCATCTCTTAAATTCCCTATTTTCCTAATCCTTAAAGTAGAGATCACAGTCTCATCAGGTTGTCATGAAGATAGGGCGAGGTAATGAATGCCAAGTGCTCAAACACAGTGACTGCCACAGAGTAAGCACAAAAGCCATCTTAGATATTATTATTGGATCATTATTGTGCTAATGTTTTCTTTGTTCCAGTTTTATTGCCACAGAGCTGACAAAAAACAATGCGTTAAGTTTAAGGTGTACAACATGATGATTTGATACATGCACCTGCTATGAAATGACTACCACAATTAACACGTCCCTCTTCTCACAGTTACCTTGTGTGTGTGGGTGCAACTGTGTGCATGTGTGTGTCTCTGTGTGTGCTGAGAACATTTAAGATTCACTCTTGGCAACGTGCAAGTATATAATACAGAATTATTAACTGTAGTCACTTAGAGCCCCAGAATTTATTCATCTTGTAACTGGAAGTTTGTACCCTTTGATGACATCTCACCATTCCCTCACCCCAAGCCACCAGCAGCCACCACTCTGTTCTATGAGTCCTGTTTCTATGAGTTTGGCTTTTATAGATTCCACCTATAAGTGATATCATACGGTATTTGTCTTTTCCCAATTTATTTTGCTGCAGTTATCTTACGTCTAAGTGAAACAGCCTGGACAATAAAGTGCTCATTCATTTATAATCCAGCTCAATAAAATACACACACACACAATGCAACTTTCATTTACTACAATTAGACTAAAGAGTCATAAAGGCACTGATTCATAGACACTAATTAATATGGAATCTTAATCTAGATAGTATAAAATCTTCACTAATGATAAAATGTAAACAGAAATTAAATTTAGAAATGCCGAAGTGGTTCCCATGATTTTCCTAGAATGTTCTGAGACACGACAGAGTTAGGAGGGCCAGTGGGCTAAGAAAGCATCAGGGGAACAGGCTTGTAATTCTAGCTTTACCATTCCCAAACTGAAAACCGTGGCACAGACCTCTTCCTCTCTACGCTGCCTTTCCTTAATGGGAAACTCATTTTTGTCTTATTATAGGACCACTCCAAGTTTTCCTTTAAACAAAAGAAAACATCATGGGCGCTGTGGATCCCGCTGTAAATGCACTGCTAATTACAACATTTAGCCTTCTTAATTACCTTTAACCAGGAGGTCCATTAGATAACAAGGTGCTTAACCTACTCTGTATTCCCAGGGCTAAACTCAGGAGCTAGGCATGTAGCAGGCATTCAATAGATGTTTGTTCTTCAAGTAATATTGGCTTTAATATACTCTCTGGGCACCCTAAATCAAATATATTTTAGAACAAGTTCCAAGTTAATTCCATTTTTCTTTGAGAATTTGTTTGGGGGCAAAGTCTATTACTGACAGTAATTAGAAAATATGTTTATCAACAGATAACTGGCTCTGAGACTTCAGCAGGGAAAATATGGCAGCTGAGGAGCTCAGAGTAAGGAATCTAAGAAAAAAAATAAAGAGAAAAACAAGAGATAAAAAAACAAACACCTGCCAGAATTGTTGATCATCCAGGAAGTTCTGAAATGTGTGCCTCACAGTCACAGAGTTTTATAACAACGATGCCTCAATAAATAAATAAAATAGTCGATCCCCTCAAGCCTTTATAATGCCTTAAAGACAGAAGACAGGTGGCTCATGGGAAGAGAGGCAGGGGGAAAAGGATAGCCGTGTAGCTGAAAGTCACCTCTAGAAAACCTGAGATTTTTTTTTTGAAGTCTAATATTTCATATAAAAATTCAAGTGAAGCTTGATTTCACTCCATGATGCTAATTATGGAAACAAATCAAAGTTTCTTTTTATTAGTGTTTCCAGTTCAATTATTTATATTACCTAACCTCTCTTGTCCTCCTGTTATTATTGCTCCCAGTGAACTTGGGGTTGCCTGGCAGGTGGGAGACAACCGCTGTTGCACCATGCACATTTAGGAGAAGCCCTCTCTCCACCTGGGCCTTGAGATTCCTTCCCTCTCCAGCCCGCCCAAAGGCCCAATGAAAGACATCAGTCTGGCTAAGTGTTTCTCTCTGCTAACGCAAGCTCTCCCTCTTTCCAGGTCTGAACTGGACAGGTAAGGAGCTGGCGAAACAAGCTCTGCTCTTCAGCCCAGTGTTTACCAATAATAGAGGTGATATTTTGTTTGTTTCCAGGGACTCTTGTCTTTTCATTTGTATCAGGACTTGGGTAAAGAAGTAGTAGTATTTGAAAGGTTCCTCAAATACTCCACCAAACTTTTCTTTATGTACCATTGACCAAGAAGCGTCTTTCTTAATACTTGCAAAAATGAGGTGATCCCGCCTGCCTTTCCCATGACCTCTACCCATTCCTCCACTGGCCCAGAGACAAGCCAATCAGGCCAAGACTAAAGGCAGGGAGGCCTGCTAGGGCACAGGCCGCAACAGCCACAGTCACAGTACAAGCCTGCCTTTTGGGCCAGCTCATTTATATCCTAGAATTTGGCACAGTTAAAAATGACTCAATACTGTTAAAAGTGTTCTAAATACCTTTCCCACAGTGTAGTTGGTATGTGATAACACTAGATAAAAGTTTCTCTGCCAGAATTGAATCCCAAAGAGAACGCCTTGTCTACTTGCCTTACACGAGACCCACATTAAATATTTCCAATAATTTCTTAAAAATTTTATTTACCATATATTAGTGTCTAAAAGATGCTAAGTTATTATTTTTCTAATCACTTGGGGGCTAAAATTGAGTATACAATGATTGAAATCAGACTTCTAGGGTCTTTTATTTGACATATACATATAATTTACCTATATAAAAGTATATGTATGCTATAATATGTAGCGTGTATATATATATATATATATATATACACACACACACATATATTTTTAGCATTAACATTTAAAATAATATTTGGCCTACAGGAATAAAAATTATTTTGCTCACAAGATAGGGGGCCAATTTTAGACAACAGCAAACCAGTTTTCTAGACTAATACTTAACACTTTCAGAATAAGCCTAAAGAAGGCTGATCGCATACAAAACATAGAAACAACCCTATAGTCAGGGAATATTTACAAATCTTGTTTTTATACTAAGCTTTCTAACTTTGTACTGAAAATCAAAACACAGTTTTTTAAAATGTCTATCAATGCAGCATGCTTTAAGATGAACAAGAAGTCTAACTCACCTCTTTAACAATATTGTGGGCTTCATCAGAATTAAAGCCAACCTAAAGGGAAAAACAAAAGGCAAAGTTGCTTTCAACACACACTTCCTTTTATTTGCAGCACTGATGATGGTCTAGATATGTGTCAGTGACAAGAGATCACAGTGATAAGGGACATCAGGTGTATGCAGGCTGCTAAGGCAACCTGGAACACTCAAAATTGCAGGGTGCTATCCCCACCTACTCAGCTGGAGATTTTAATTCACTAGGTCTGATACAGAGCCTGGGCAACTATACTCTTTTTAAAAAGTGCTTTACTGGCGATCTGGAAGGATGTCCTAGATTGAGAATTACTGTATTGTAATTGTAAAGGTGAGAAAATAGCAGGAGGGGGATATAAAAAGTACATAGGAAATGGCTGCGGCCAAGTGAGAATGAAGTGATTCATGAGAAAAGAATGCTTAATAGGTTTTTGAATTTTGTTTATAATTTATGTTGGGCAAGAATGTGCATTTTCTGAATTAAAGATTACGAAAATGCTTGGTCTTTCAAAGTTAAGGTCCCTTTAATACTAGATAATAGGTCTGGCCTTCTGTTTTCTTTGGACTGGCTTGTTGGAACCCGGAGTTAAAAAGCAACTGTTAATGACATCCAAGAGTCTTAGAGTAGAGAACTAGGCTATGTGGTAACATTGAAATCCAACCCAAAATACTTTAGGTAGTATATGATTGGTTTCCAGTGGGACATTTTAAGGGGCTTTATAACATCAGCAATTTTGTAAATCTAATTTAAAATCAGTTCACAAAACAAGAACATTCTGCAAACTAGTATTGTCTTGAGTATAGATTTAAAATATCTTTAACTCATTTAACTATACCACAGAATTCCCCAATAAACAAAGGAATAAAAACAGCCTAAATAATTAGAAATATTATAAAAACAGGTCTCACATTTCAACCTTATTAAAATGATCATTTTGCCTTAAAGTGGGGGTACTATCTACTTCAGAAGTGGCCTAGAAATGACAAGATGTCCATTTGGAAGGTCACCAAATAATCAGGATGTACTGGGTGGCCCCAGGAACACATGTAACCTTACCTCTTTTTAAATAGGCCTACTTAGGAAGTACTGCAGGCCAGAAGCTTGGCAGAAGTCAGGAGACTGGCACTGGGGGTGGGGTGGGGTGGGGGGTGCCTGAGGGTGAGTCAGCCATGGACTTGCTTGTTCCTCAAATCTCTATTTCTAGAATGAGAATACTTTGCCACTATTTGTATGTTTGCCACTTGCCACACTGCTCTAAGTAATTTAAATGCAATTTCAGCTTCTGCAGAAGCTCACATCTAAAGACAGATGGACCAGAAGACCCTACCCAGGGTTCACAGCATCGTGCACCTGTGGTTACCACTGGCCAGAAAACACCTTTGGGCATTATGTCTTTGCAGGCCTGCCATGGGGTGTGCTGCCACCCAACAGGCCTCAACCTCCTGAGTGGTTCGAGTGAAGGCCCAGTTGTCCTGGCGTAGTGGGAAGCCTAGGTTCAAAGGGAGGATCTGTGATACCTGGCAGTTTTAACTTTGGGCAGGTCACTCAACCGCCATGAAACGCACATCAGTAACAGGAAGATAACAACTGACATCCGCGGCTTCTGGGGAGGTTTCAGGAGGTTCCAGGAAGCAAGCGCTCAACATCCCTAAAGCACCTCCTTCCAGCCCACCCAGGAGAGGGTGCCAGGGAGTCAAGGGGCTTGATCACCCGGGCCTTGCACGCCGGGCAGCAGCACCTGCTTTGGGGACGCCAAGGGGCGGGGGAAAGCACCCGGGAAGACCGGTTTCTAAGACCCGCCCTGCAGACGGGCGGCGCCCGCCACCCCATCCCCAGCTCTCACGCCTCAAGTCAGGCCATCCACCCCTCGGGCCTCGACCCCACTGCCGGCCCCAAGCGTTCCCGGCCGCCCCTGCCACCCCGATTCTCAGCCTAACACTGTAAGGGCCTCCGGGTGGGGCGATCGGGCCGGCGGGGCGGGGCAGATCTCCGGCCCGGAGCAGAGGCCCGGGCCTCGGAGGCCGTAGTACCCCAATTCTCCCGGCTGCCGGCTCTGGAGCCCACCCGGCCGAGACCCCGCGCCCAGGCAGGCGGGGCGGGGGCGCCGGCGGGCGGCCGAGGGGCGGTACCTCGTCGCAGTGGCGGTGGTACTCCTCCATGGTGGCGCTGACTTTCTCGGGGGCGGAGCGACGGGCGGGTCCAGTTCGTGCCTGCGTAATGGCCAAGGTCCCGGCTCCCCGCCTTTCTGTCCCGGGGCGTTCCCCACGCAGATCCCGCCTTGGTGACGCAGTGGCACCGCCTTCCTGTAGCTCAGGCAACGGAGGCGCGCCCCGTTACCTTTGACCTTTAGGGAAACAAAGGATGGGTGTTAAAGAGCCATTGTGAATTGGATGGGTTGACCTAGTAGCTATGAGTCTAGGACATGTTGTCGATTGGGTGCCCGTAGCTGTGATGGCCTGCACAGGGTCGTTTATTATCCAGCAAATCAGTGGCAGTTCGTGCAAGCCGCTACCTCTCCTCCACTTACTAATTAATGCTACTTGGAAAAAGTTAATCTGCAGCCTCAGTTTGCTCATATGAAAACTTAAATTTATACCTATTTCACGGTTGTTTCTAAGGATCCAATGAATGCCACATGCACAGCTTCTAAAGTATGTGCTCCTACACCTCTCCTCCTTGACTAGGAGAAATATTGATTTATAGGAGAGAACATAGATTTATTCTAAATTAAATTATATATCTTAGCAGAACAATGATTACATTTATTTAAAAATGATGAATTCCATTTGATCCCAAGGATTTCCTCACTTTAACCCATAACAACTCAGCGTGTTTCCATCACGCCATTTTTCAAGATGAGACTCAGGTACAGAAAGTTTAAATAATTTACCCAAGATCTTATTTCCAGTAAGTAATAGAAAAACTTAAACTCAAGTAGTCTGAGAGCAGCACCAAGTTCTTAACCTCTGTATTCAGTTCCTATTGTTGCTATAATAAATTACCATTAATTTAGTGGCTTGAAACAGTACAAAGTTACTGTTTTGCAGCGCTGGAGGTCAGAAGTAGTAAAATGGGTGTGCAGGACTATATTCCTTCTGGGTGCTCTAGGAGAGCTCTAGAGCCCTAGAAGACTTTTCTAGCTTCTAGAAGCTGCCTGCATGCCTAGGCTCACCACTTCCATCCTCAGAGCCAGCAGTTTTGTATCTTTTCTCCTCTGACCTCTACTTCCATCCTCACATCTTCTGTCCTTGTCTCAAGATCCTTAATCCTATATGCAAAGTGCCTTTGGCCACATAATATATCCACAGGTTCCAGCCATTTAGACGTGAACATCTCTTGTGGGTGGCATTATTCAGCTGACTGCAACCTCTACTCTATTTTGCTCCCTAAAATCAGAGTTGGGAAGTTTATTAGTCTGCTAGTTCAGCTCTTTATTTTACAAGTAAAACTGAAGTGCAAAGGGGTGAAGTTGCTTGTACAAGGGTTCATAAGTATTAACTTAACCCCTGGGCTTGGACTTTCAGACCCCTCCATCCTCTGCTTTCATTTTATGGGCTTAGACAGAACCAAATTGGCCTGTTTACCTGATAACATGAAGTTTGTTACTAATTCTCCTAAATTGCAGTTCATCGAGTGCAGAAAACCTATAATTGTAATTCATAGAGAAATTCATATTTCTCCTCTTTCAGGATATTTTTTTATAATCCCATGAGCAATTCCAACATTATATGGGGAGGCTTAGCAGTACCCTTATTAAAACCAAACTTACTTTCCTAAAGAATTGTTTCTTTGTCTATATGTAACAGGGTGGTCCCCAGGAAAGGGGGAGGTTCCAGGTTCCCTGCCCCACCCAAGGAAGGGTGGAGCTGAGCAGGAAGAGGAGAAGCTGCAGAAGAGACTGAGGAAGGAAGGAAGCAGGATGGAGCAAGGAGACCTGGAGGAGGCACATGGAGCCTAGAGACACGTGAAGAAACTGCGCTTGTCTTTTGGTCGTGGACTAGGTGACACAGATGTGGGTGAGACCCGTGGGGAGGTGACAATGGCAGCTTTTATCTTGATGTTGATTTTGCTCTTTTCCTTCCGGGCTTGTCTGGTTGTTTGTGACCCTTTTCTGTGGGTCCCCACTGGAAGATGTTTTAGACTTGTGGCAGGCTTTGGGGCCTTGCTCTGGGCCGACCCCATATGGATGGAGTTTTACCCACGAGGGGATGGGTAACTTTGGGTGCTTCATTTAGAAACTAGACTCTTTGCCTTACCTGTATTGTTTTCTAGTTTTTATTAAAGTTCCTTCCCATTAAAGTGTCATATGTTTTGTGTTGATGCGGCGGATGGCAGAACCCATTTAGAATAGGCAGGTTTGTGGGGGTCTGGGGTGCCCCTCTCCCTGTCCTATAACATATATAGGTCAAACAAAGGTGTATACTGTGCAAGAACTCATGATAAATATAAAATGAGGTAAAGAAATATTGTTCCCATGGAGACAGAAAGGATCCCAGGACAAGGACAGAACAGGACTCAAGGACAAAATTTTGCTGTTCCCATAGGCTGGCAAACAAAGGATTAAAAACCTGAGAACTCTAGGCCTGGACACCTGCTGCCACAAATTTCCTTGGCAAATTGTGGTTTTTTGTTACCATTTCAGCTTATGGAGTTGGGTGCTATGGGAAGAAATGGGAGCTGTAGATCCAGAAGAGTCACAGACCTTGAATCAGACCAGTTCAGACCGGAGCTGTGGACATACAGCCTCCATGACATGTTCCCCTTAGACCCGGTCACGAGCCCTGCATGACCTGGAGCTGCAGCTGAAGGTGCTCACAACTGGCAACAAGAAATGGACTTTACCAAGTCCACTCTCCTTGTTCTTTCAACCAATAGAGTTTAATTCCTTTGTTCCCAAAACCCAGTCCTAAAAACCTATACAGGCACCTAGCCCTGGCATTTCAAGGAGTTTCTCTCAGCCCAGAGAGGTCTTCCTGGAGTTCTCTTTCCTCTCTCTTTCAATAATCAACGAACGTTGATTCCTTGCCTGCCCTTGCCAGTGTCTGTGGAGTCCTCATTTCAGTATTTTTAAAACCATATACTCTTATGGGGCATGTGCAGTTGTATGGGGGAATATAAAAATAAAATTTATTATTTAAAAAAAAAAACCATATACTCTTGTAATTGTTAAATCATAAAAAGGTATCAAAATAAAAAGCAAAAATTACAGGGTGAGACAACATAACTACAAGGAGCATCAAAGGAAGCGAAAATGGGACTAGGCACGGGGCAATATGAATTAATGAACTCGGGAAGGACAGGGTGGGGAGAGCCCTGCGCATGTGCTGAAGGTACCAGGGGAGAGGATTTGGTGGTCCTCTCCTTTCTCTTTTTCATCATTCTCAATCAACTCCAGCTCCTTGTTTTCAATGCTCCTTTTCAGTTTTTTGCAGGCTTTCCAGTGGAGAATCCACGCCATGCCAAATTGATTTTAGGACTACAAGTTCCATCATGCCTTCCTGCAGGGGGGATTGCTGGGAACAAAGGGTGGAGTTAAGCCGCCATGCTCAATATAAAAGCAAACACTGGGCCTGCGCTCGCCTGGCGTTGCCTGCCTTCAGCATGCACGGCTTCCTGGCTCAAACTGCGTCACAGGTAGGACACATTGAGCAATCAATCTCTCTTTCTCTGTTCTCCCCTCTTCTCATTTTCCTTGTAAACAAACCTTTTATTAACCTTTCCCCGCGTGCCTGCCCTTGAGCTTCCTCCTAAGTTTTTAAGCGCGCGGGTGAGGACCCACATCGAGGCCCTCTCGCTTCCCTTTGGGGTAGCTCCGTAACACAAGGAGAAGCGAAGCACTGGCCGAGATGGGGGGCTGCTTCATAAACTGTCTCCTGAGTCTAATCGCCCTCTTAGCAATCTTGTCCAGGTGGTCTCAGGAGCTCTGTCCGGGCTTGATGGCACGGCCCCTTCCGCCCATTCCTCTGATTCGCCAGCAGGTGGAGCAGTGGACAGTGGCTGGTTTGCTCCCCGCTTATTAGTGTTGTTGCAGGTTGGAAACCTGGCTGAGGAGCCCTGGGTTCTTTCCCTTGTACGGTGACACCATGACCGTCCCTGAATAATAAATAACCTCAGAATTTAGCAGTACGTTTATTTCATTGGATTATGCGCATGGATTCCTTTGGCTAGAAATTTGGGTAAGGCACACCAGAAAGAACATCTCTCCATGATGTCTGGGGCCTAGCTGGGAATACTCAGGGGCAGAAGGTAAATGGATGATGGGGCCTGGAAGGATCTGAAGACTTGTTCATACTTTTGTCTGGTGTCTGGGCTGGATCAAAAATTAGAACAGCTAACCAGGGCACCAGCACATAGTCCTACCAAGTGCTTGACTTCCTAACATTGTGGCAATGCTAAAGTAGTGAGACATCTTATATAGCAGCTCAAGATTCCAAGTTCCATCGAAGTAGTCAGAAGCTACTGAGGCTTTTGGCCTCACAAGTCATACTGCGTCACTTTCACCATACTCTAATAATTGAAACTGTTATAGACCACTCAGACTCTAGGGGAGGGGACATAACTTACGTTTCAATAACACGAGTGTCAGATTATTTTGGAACCATGTTTTGAAACCATTGCAGTTTTTTCAGTTACTTTCCTGGTTGCAAGTAACAGAAGACATAGGTAGGATGGGCTGAAATAATTAGGACATTTGTTTTCTGCAATAACCAAAAATACAGAGGCACCAATTCTCCAGGTTGGTTCAGTTGCTGAACAATTTTTTAGTGCTTTACACATGGCTGTCCTTGGAATATCAGCAATATTTAATCTCATGGCCACACATGGCTGTAGGAGATCTGGTATTGCAAGGAACAAAGGCATCACATCCAATGAAGAGGATGGACAATGTCTTGACTGGATCGATTTTTCTTAGGAAGGAACATCTTTTTTTCAAGTCTGCAGGAGTCTGCTCCTCCGTTGGTAAACTTATGGGGAAACATATTTTTGACATTTGTATCTTTTGTCATAAAAAGTGAATTCTGCTAGAAAGGAAAAATGGATGTGAAATTATTGTTGGTAGATCATCCTTTCCAACTTTTTTCATGCCATGGTTCATATATAAAACATTATTTACATGGTTCATTGGGGTGAACTGATGGACATTGGAGATTTCTTTATGGGATTTGGTTTTAAAATACATTACATAATTATTGTAAAGAAAAAAATAAAAAGGTTAGAAATCGAATTTGTAAAAACTTCTGAATTAAATCTTTCAAGTGTTTTCGGCCTCCCTGGTGGCTCAAGAGTTAAGACGCAACCTATGAAGCTATCTGCAGCCACTGTAACATGAGTTCTATTCCCGACCAGCCAGGGAGCAACCCACATGGTGCAGCAGACCCCTCCTGACTTGCCCTGCTGCTCCCCTCAGCAGTGTATTTCAGTCAGTCTGCCTGTTCTGTTCCCCACTCTGTCTCTGGTGAATCCTCTCACCCCCCATGCCTCTGGTCTGTATTCCAGCTCTTGTATGCATAAATAAATAAATCTTAAAAAAAAACCCAAAAACTTTCAAGTGTTTTAATGAAATCCTTAATCTTATTTTCATGGACACATCATTTTATATGTGGACTTAAAATATCTATAAGCAATTCATGTTTGCAAGTTTTTAATAATTTTCTTCCTCCAAATATTGTTGAGAAGTGTCCTACATAGAAGAAATTGACAAAACATTTAGACTCATTTTTCAAACCATTCAAATTAAATTTAAGGTTTCTTTAATGATAGGTTAGTAATTAGGACCAACCCTTACACTGACAATTAGGAAAGTGGTACAAAATATAATAAGCACTTGCTCAAAAGAATTGGAGTTTTTACATACAATGTAGGAAAGCATCATGGATCTAAGACCAGGAGAGTAATGAAATATAGATGGAAGAGTAAGGTATGTGGGATACATTTTCACTTGGGGGGAGAGAAATGTAAGGCCTTTTGTTTATGAGGATCCACATGGAATAGTTCACGAACTCGATACAGTCTGTGACTTTCACTCATCATTCAACCTCTGGACTAGCTACAGAGGAAGGAATTATTATGGTTATTTTATGTTACTTGATCTTCTTCCGCTTTTAACCCCACCATCTTAAATGGGACACCCATCCTGGCTAATGATTTTGGTTTTAGTGATTGTATGACCATCTTGTTTTGACATTAGAATGGTACAGTAGCTGATGTGTCCCTCCATATATCAAGCAGCACATTTTATTTTATTTTTTTAAATATTTATTTATGCATACAAGAACTGGGGTACAGGCTGGAAGTGTGTGTGTTGGGGGGAGTGAGAGGATTCTCTGTTATGTAAATATTGATGGATCTCTCCAGAGACAGAGCAGGGAACAGAACAGGCAAATGTACTGAAATACACTGCTGAGGGGAGCAGCAGGCGAGTCAGGAGAGGTCTGCTGCGCCATGAGGGTCACCTCCCTAGCTGGGGATCAAACTCTTGCTGCAGTGGCTGAGGACAGCTTCACAGTGCTTTAAGCAAGACATTTTAAATTGCACATCTATTACACTAATATGGAACCTCATGATTGCCTAAGTTATGACTTAATTATGGGAGATGAGGGATTCCTTCAAGCCTTCTATGGAGGCCTTCTAATTTTTAAATGCATGCTCTTAGTTTTATGTTCATAGTCCTTAATTTATATTTTTCACTATCTTTGCTTTTTAAAATTATAAGGTGCCAGGTGACTCTACAATCTTTATTGTCACTCTTGATGCCCTGAAAGCAAAAACTTTGCCTCTAATGCTTTGTCCTTTGCCTGCATTTTATTCTCTGGTGATAATGTGAGTAATCAGCATATCACTTCACACCTGGAGTTACTCATGCCCCATTGTGTCTCAGCAAGATTATCCATGTGCTCCATGAACAACTGAGTCTCAGAGTTATATTTTGAGGATCTACTTCCTGAGAAATAGATCACAGTCACAGTTCTCCAGAGAAGCAGAATCAATAGGATGTACATGTAAAGATATTTAAGGAATTGGTCATACAGTTGTGGAGGCTTGGTGAGTCCAACATCTGACGGGGGAGGCCAGAAGGCTGGAGCCTCAGCAAAGAAAATCACTTTGAGTCCAAAGATAGTCAGCCGTAGAACTAGGAGGAACCAATATTGCAGATGAAGTCTGCTGAAGAACTCCTTTTGGCTTTAGGGAGGTCAGCCATTTGTGTTACACAGTCCTTCAACTGATTGAAGGCAGTATGCTTTATTTAAAGTCTACTGACTTACTTATTTTAAAGAAACTTTTTTTATTTAAAAAGCATTGATTTGCGGGCCTCCTCGGTGGCGCAGTGGTTGAGCGCTGGGTTGCGAAGCTGCCCACAGCCTCTGCAGCGCCGGTTTGATCCCCGGCCGCCGGGTGAGGGTCCCACATGGCGCACAGACCTCTCCTGCCGCCCGCTGCTCCCCTCAGCAGTGTACTTCGGTCCTTCTGCCTGCTCTGCTCCCTGCTCTGGCTCTGGTGAATTCTCTCACCCTCCCGCGCTTCTGACTGTACCCAGTGCTTGTATAAATAAAAGAATAAATTTTTTAAAAAAGAAAAAAACCACATTGATTTGCAATACTGTATATGACTTAGGGGAATCCGGTTACACTTCTTCAGATGAAGATGAAGGTGTTTCTTCACCTAGGGCCAAAGTACCCACAGTGTTTACCAGAGCCTATTGGGACCCCCTCCCCTTTGTTCCCACTGCCACTCTCTAGTAGCCTCAGTTCTGCAGTGATATTTCTAGGGGGGGTTTGGGTTTAGTTTTGTCTTTTTCATGATTCTGCTCCACCCGAGTCTCTGCTCCACGTGTCTCCTCCAAGTCCTTTTTATCTTCCTCTCACTGCTCAGCTCCACCCTTTACTACATGGAGCAGGGACCCTGGAACCTCCCTTTTCCATGCAGATTACACCATCACAGAACTCTTGGAGATAGCAACTGCACGATACAAATTCTTTTGAAATACTAACAGAAACTATGTGAACTAGATTATATTGCTTGGGGAACATAATCAGCATTATTTTTATAACAATGATTGCAATGTTGTGATAGATACTATGTGTGTTTTGTAGCTAAGAGTCCTACAACTCCAAATCACAGAGGAACATGTGGGAATCCATGAAAAATCTTTTTCTAGAATTTGAATGCCTTAATTTTACTTCAGAACTATTCAATGTTGAGAACTAGAGTTCATTTTTCAAGTTACAAGGTAGCACTTTGGGAAAGAAAAACTGTATATTTGAATAACAACTTAAAATTGCAGTTGTTGGGCCTCCCTGGTGGCACAAGGGGTTAAGATGCAACCTGTGAAGCTCACTGCAGCCACTGCAGCACGAGTTCGATCCCCGGCCAGGGAGCTACCCACATGGTGTAGTAGACCTCTCCTGACTTGCCTGCTGCTCCCTTCGCATACAAGAACTGGGGTACAGGCCAGAGTTGTGGGGGATGAGAGGATTCACTCGAGACAGTGGGGACTAGAACAGGTTTATCTACTGAAATACACTGCTGAGGGGAGCAGAGGCAAGTCAGGAGAGGTCTGCTGCACCATGTGGGTAGCTCCCTGGCAGGGGATTGAACTCCTGCTGCAGTGGCTGCTGCAAGCTTAATAGATTTTGTCTTAACCCTTTGTGCCACCATGGAGGTCCCAATAAATAAATCCTTTTTAAAAATTGTAGTTGTTATCACAGGTAGGTCGTCCTCTGTTATGTAAATATTGATGGATCTCTCTAATTTGTAATGCTAATCCTGCCTCCCCACAGGTTCTGCTGCAGCACCTGATTCTCTAATCCTTTTGTTTTTAGTGTGGAAGACAACCAAGAGTCAAGAATTTCACACAGTATTATTTTAAGGCCTTTGTAATATCTGGTCCCAATATGACAGAATGAATTTTCTTCCATAGCACAAGCCATTATTACAAAAGAAAATAGCAAGGTAATGCAATTTTTCTAATTACCAGAACTAATTATCAAGAGTAGAACACTAATTTTTAAATTACCTTACTTAGGATGAACATGCATCAACAGTGGAACAGGGAATAGAAGATATAAGTGGAGCTGGAAGTTACTAAGCTGAGGTAACACTTTCTGCCATTTCAAAGGCACTGATGGCTAATGTGGATGTGTAAGGAGAAATTACCTGTCTAGGGGGACCGCGAAGCTATGGAATTAGTCTTTGGAGGACTGAAAAGAACAGGATTTGAACCCAGATTGCAAATCAGACTCACTAGAGGGTTTTGTTTTTTTAAATCTATGCCAGACTCCACCCTTGAGATTCTGACTTAATTGTTTTTGAGGAGGACTTGGCATCAGTTTTTCAAAAGCTACCCCAGGTGATTATAACATGCAGTCAGGGCTGGGAATCTTCGTTGCAAAATCCTCTCCCCGCCTCACTCCCCCCCAGAATTCATTAAAACAAGGTAAATTCACTTTTGCTAGGAAGGCTTAAATTTGGTTCTGTTGGAAGTGAGAACCATACATTTATTACTTCTTGGGTTTCTTTGTGACCTATTGTTTGGTCACTCATTTATTCACCAAATGTTTTCTTAGCACCTACTATGTACCAGGCATTGTGTTAGAGCAGTGTTTCTGGAGGGGGGGCGTGTAACTTTATGCCCTTCCTGCCCCAGGAGACATTTGACAGGTTGTTTTTTTTTTTGGGGGGGGGGAAGGCTTAACTTTAATATTTTTGTGTGTGTGTGTATATATGTGTGTGTGTGTGTGTGTGTGTATATATATTCTTTGAGGTAACGTTGACTTACAATGTTATTTGTAACTTAGAGGTGTAGGATCTCCCCCTTCAGCTGTTACCATACCACACCCACCACAAAAATACCCATAGTCCACTACAAGTCCATTTTGTTCCTTTCTTACTTTGTTCCCCCACCCCAAGTCAGTTCTACAGCAAAATTTCTAGGGTTTGTCATTAGTTTGTCTTTGACCCTTTTTTTTGTTTCTCTATATTCCATGTGTAAGTGACACCATCCGGTAATTGTCTTTCTTCTTCTGACTTTTTTTGCTTAGCATAATCCCCTCCAGCTGCATCTATGTTGCTGCAGATGGTAAGAATTTGTCTTTTTTTTTTTTTAATTTCTATAACTAGGGTGAATACTATTGGCATATAATGAGAACAGGCTATGTTTGCTGCTGAACATCCTATAATGCAAAGATCCCTCCCAAAACAAAAATTATTTTGTGCAAAATGTTACTACTGCTGAAGTTGAGAAGTCCTGTGTTACCTGGGGGTGAAAAGGAAAAATTCCATTCTATGGAGTTTCAGATCTAGTGGGGGAAGACAGGGAATTTGTTAGGAAAATGTGGAAAGACTTCAGGCAGCTCAGTTGGGCTTTGTGGATGTAATGTCAAAAAGAAACCAATCATTGAAGTTGTGCATGCTGTGTTCAGCTCTTGCAATTATGTTCAGAAGATGTGGGTTAGCCATGGTTGGGATTTTTCCAGATGATTTTAGCTGAGAGGGTCATGGGATCCAAGGCATTTTCAAGGAAGGGATTTGCTGATAGACCATGGATTCTAAATTGGGTAAGCAGTGAAAAGTGGTGAAAAAGCAATAGAGTCATTGCATCTGAGGTCTAAATGGGGTCAGAGAATTACTGAGGTCTAAATGGGGTAAGAGAATTTAGAAGAGGTGAGATAGGAAGAGACTAAGGGTCAGAAAATTGGATGATTGAAAAGAAACTAGTTTTTGAGACAAAGATTGAAGGAACTAGGGGGACCTTCTTCTACTTGATGCTTCCTTTATATCATTTTGTGGTGTTGAAGCCAGGGAGGCGTGAACTACTGAAGAGTACAAGAACTTTATATGGGTGTCATAGCTGGGAGACAGTGTTTTTATCAGATTCTGTGATTTTGACTTAATGTCTTTCCCTGGCTTTTAGTTTATGGGATGTTCCACAGTTTACAAACCTAACGTAGAGTAGCACCATCAGCATATAAGTGAGGGAGGAAAAGCCAGACTTTCCCACTGATCCCTTTCTTCCAGACCCATTAATTCTGGAAGAGACATCTATCTTACAGTCTTTCCTCCTTTTCCTGTTCTTGTGTCAGCCATACATTTTTATTATGACTTAGTACTTGTTTATGAAATTATGTGTCTCTGGCATGCTCTGCTTGTTTACACAATACCATGACAACAATAAGAATGTTTTGGGTAGCGTTTGAAGGGTTCACTTTTTGTGTGTTTTCATCCTTCCTGCTCCTGCCATTTCTAGTGCAGGTCATACATTTTGAATCATTTATTTAAAAATTCTACTCATGTTGGGCCTCCCTGGTGGTGCAAGAGGTTGAGCACCGCACTATGAAGCAGTCCACAGCCTCTGCAGCATGAGTTCGATCCCTGGCCGGCCAGGGAGCAACCCACATGGTGCAGCAGACCTCTCCTGGCTCGCCTGCTGCTCCCCTCAGCAGTGTATTTTGGTCGGTCTGCCTGTTCTGTTCCCCACTTTGTCTCTGGTGAGCCTTCTCTCCCGCTGCACTTTTGGCCTGTACCCCAGCTCTTGTATGTATAAATAAATCTTTAAAAAAATAAAAATTCTACTCATGTTATGGCAATCCATGCCCCATTTCAAATAGAAATTACACACTTGAACCAAATCTTAAGACAGAATATTTCCTGTATCACAAAGGAAATAAATGTGTTTGTTATTTTAATGTCTGTCTTTCTAGAAAGAAATGCTGACCTTTTGGTTCAGGGTAGATAATCTGACCCTCTTGTCTATTATACTGCTTTATGGTACTGGAGGGAACTATAAACTGGTTGAAAAGTAAATGTACTCCATGCATCAGTTCAGTACTGATTCAGGAAAAGAACAGGTGCAAGGAGACCTATTAAATCTCATCCAGCTCTTAATTTCCATGATTCTTCTAAACCATGTCTCATGGAGGACATTTGTTGATGATATTGAAGGACTGGAATAAGGTATTTAGAAGCATAAAATGCTTTCATTAAGTTTAGTCATTTTGCTCATCAAAAATCTGCAGTCTTATCAGAGGGAATCATTCATTGTCAAAGCTTCCATGCTAATGACTCTCTTCATAGTCAAAGCACATTATAAATATTTATTCCTAGGCCAGATGAAAACCTTTAAAGTGGTTAATTTTAAAACAAAGCAACTTTTTTACAGGGAGAAAATAACACGATATGAGCAAAATGAACATTTGTGTGATGGTCTACACACATAATAAAGCATTTGCTAAGCCCTAGCACTAATGAGATATATTCATGCAACACATGGAGTCCTGGTCTTCAAATGCATAATCAAATATAAACATGTATATAGACTGAGCTCAGCTGACATTAAAGGCTTGTGGATTTTTCGTTGTAACAATTATATTCCACCTTCCTTAGGATGATACAGATGATACTGAAGCAATATAAATGCATTTCTCATTCCTTCATTCCAATGTATAAAAAATTTGGGAGAAGCACTGATTGCAGTGTACAAGGTTCACTGTCTTCTTCTGGAAAGAGACAAGAACTTGGAGAACAATAAGAGCCTTTTATAAAGGGTTTTCTGATGGTATTATCTTATCTCTGTTTTATCCCTCACTAATGTTTGATGAAATGGGGGATTCAGAACCCAGAAATTGCTGGTCATTAGGGTGAGGACCTCCGGTGAGTGTGGCAGGTGTGAAGTAGACCCTCCTGGGAGCTTTTACAGGAGGCCTCTCGTTTGGTATCATTTTGAAGTTTGGTTTTTGACTGTTTCTTGAAGGAATCATCACAGAGTGATGAAAGCTATGATTTTTCTTTGATTCTTTGTTGGTTAAAAATCAAACAAAGTGAAATAGTGAATTGACTTAACTCATGTGCCTTTTCTCTACCTAAATCCCAATAGATCCTTCAGTGAATAGACGTCGGACTCTACTTTGTGGTTTCCATACACAGTGGGGTTTTCATAGCAGCAGGGACTTCTGGTAATTCTCTAGTCTGCTCAGCTCTGCTTCTCTACCACGTTCCTTACATTCTCCTGCCCTCCAGCCCTCTCTGACTCCAGAACATTCCCATCAGTATCCACATATTGCTTCCCACTTCACCAAGAAAACTGAATCCATCATGAGGATTGAACTTCTTGTCATCTAATGTAAGAACATACTTGCAGGCACCTCTCCTGCCTACTTGTGACTATGCAGGTGCCTTTTTCTCCTTTTCCTAAGAAACCTATCCTTTTAAAATATAAAAAAAAAGAATATACTTGTGTGCCTCGCTGTTCTTTGTCTTATAACAGAGTGATAATCCCTCTCCCTTTACTCTTCTTACTCACAGACTATGGAAAGACACTTTCATTTTTCTTTCAAGAACTGGGGTACAGGCCAGAGGTGCTGAGGGGTGAGAGAATTCACCAGAGACAGAGTGGGGAGCAGAACAGGCAGACTGACTGAAGTACACTGCTGAGGGAAGCAGCGGGTGAGTGAGGAGAGGTCTCCTCCGCCATGTGGGTAGCTCCTGGCTGGGGATCGAACTCGTGCTGCAGTGGCTGCAGCAAGCTTAATAGGTTGTGTCTTAAGCCCTTGAGCCACCAGGGAGGCCCTCTCTTTTTTTTTTTTTTATTTATTTATACAAGAACTGGGGTACAGGCCAGATGGCGCGGGAGGGTGAGAGGATTCACCGGAGACAGAGCTGGGAACAGAACAGGCAGACTGATGAAATACACTGCCAAGGGGAGCAGCAGGTGAGACAGGAGAGTTTTGCTGCACCATGTGGGATTCTCGCTGGCCGGTCGGGATCGAACCACACTACAGAGGCTGTGGACAGCTTCACAGTGTGGCGCTTAACCGCCTGCGCCACCAGGGAGGCCCATACTTTGTTTTTAATGCCACTCCTTGTAGGGTTTTTTGTTGACTGCTGAACTTGTCACTCACACACGAGGATAGGGAGTTGATCTATTCTCCCCATTGTAATATTAGCATAGAGATAAGTGTCTGATTCAATAAGTGCTTTTGTTTTTAAATCAATGAATCAATTAAGGGCAGTATGTAGTAGGGTAGAGCAGTGCTATAGAACCCATACTGTTTTATGGCTCAATTTCAATAATTTTGTTCCTCTTGAAGTTTCCTATGGTTGTCTGTACTGGTAGGTCATCCTTCACCATCAAAGCAGGGTGCTATTGGAACACTTATCTGTAGCTGCTTGTTTACTTCTAACTCAATACAGAGTCTATGGCTTTGTCTAGTTGTCAAATCTCTGCCATTCATAACTTTGCTGTGCCACCAAGTGACTGCTAATGTGTAAATTTCCCAGTGAATTATTTATCAGTAAATTAAGTAATAAAGCTCAACTTGAGAAGGGAAAACCTCATAAAAATGTTTTTGATAATACAAAACATAATACATGTTAGACACTAAGGACATGGTGGAGCATGGTTTTCTCCAAAAGAAAAGCATTCAATCATTTACATAGAAAATGAAACTGAAGGTACAAAAGCTCAACTCCACAGAACAGCGTGTCATTCGCTTAGGAAAAAAAACTACTCGAGGCCTATCATCAATAGGTTTTATTTAAGGTCCAAATGAAATAAATCATTCACTCCCAGCTATCAAATATCACATTGTAAATTTTTATGGAAGTGAACTAGGAGAAAGAAAACTTGTGGACAGCACATCCAAGGGAAAGCTAATATTCACTGACTGTGCAAAATAGCTATTGTTAAATATAATACTTTCAAACAATAACCATCTGCAATTTTTCAAAAGTCTATTGATGGGGTGGTTTGGGGTCTGTTTATTTGGGCTGGGCTCACCTTATTTCAAGTTAGCTCATACACCTGTGTTCAAGTCAACTGGCGTTTGGCTGGTTGAAGGTCATCTTGGCAGGGACGAGTAGGCCCCTAGCCATCTCTTAGCTTTTATTAGGTGAGCCTGGACTCATCTTCATATAAAAAGTACAAGAGAGAAAGGAAAGGTGTTCAAGGTTTCTTGTCACCTCGACTCAGAATTTGGAAAAGTACCATTTCCACATTGTGTTGGCCACAGCAAGTCACAGAGTTCACCCAGATTCAAAAGATGGGGGCAGACTCCATTTTTTGGTGGGGGGAGCTGAAGTATCACAATGCAAGGGGCATAGATACAAGAAGGGAAGAATTGGAACCATTTCTGCTATCATTTATCTACTCATTGTTTACTTTGACTCATTTATTGAAATTCATGACCTTCGTAAGTCTGACTGTATCTACTTCATGAAAATAAGCATAAGTGCCTCCAGCTTGACAAAGTGCCTTCTCTTAGATTCTTTAGATGGGATGATTTGAAATGTTAGTAGATGGTAGCTATAAATATGAATGGACTTAAGCCACTTAGAATTTTGAATAGTTCTTTTTTTATCCACCTTGAATTGTTATTATGTATATCAGACCCTTTCGCCACTTCATAATAATTTTATCCTCATCTCATCAGCCATGTAGTAATGTACAGACTCACTAAATTGATTGACTGTCATCTGCCTGATTGATTAAGTAGCTTAGAATACTGCAGAAGCTCAGGCAGAAAGGATTAGCTTTCTACTCTTTCTATCAGAGTGATGAAAGAGAGGGGGAGAGAACATTTTGTGAAGCTAGTGATGCTTCACATATCTGAAACAAACAATATGAAACCCGGTGTTCTCACAGCTGTGACTGCCAAATGTTCCCCTGACTGTTTGCCCCCACCCAGAGCATACACACATCCATCTGTGTGGACTCGGCTCATCCTCAACTCCCCTCACCTCAGTCCTCTTCAAATTAGCTGTATGTGAATACAGATTTGGAAAAGAGTAACAGGAGAGGGCCTCCCTGGTGGTGCAAGGGGTTAAGACACAACCTATGAAGCTGGCCACAGCCGCTGCAGCATGAATACGGTCCCCGGCCAGGGAGCTACCCACATGGCACAGCAGACCTCTCCTGACTCTCCCGCTGCTCCTCTCAGCAGTGTACTTTAGTCAATCTGCCTATTCTGTTCCCCACTCTGTCTCTGGTGAGTCCTCTCAACCCCCCACACCTCTGGACTGTACTCTGTTCTTGTATGCATAAATAAATCTTTTTTTTTTTTTAAAAAAAAAATGTTAACAGGAGAAAAACTCAGCCTGCTTTCTCTGGATGAGTGAGTTTCTCAAACAATGTTACTCCCAAATGCCACAAAGAAGCTGTTGTCAGGTTGTGTGACCTGAGAGGGGACACAACTCTCTTACCAATTCTTAGATACATCACTTCAGAAGCTATGAAACAGAGTATAGTTAAGAACAATCATTGCTCTTCACACAGTTCAATGGAGCAATTTTTCCCTTGAAAGTCACTTTATTTCCAGTGGTACTTTCCATGTCAATGTATTAAAAATGTCACTGAATCAAGCTTTTTATTAACTTGTCAGCATATCCAAAGTATTCCTCAGAACCTCCGTGGGGGATTCTCTTGTCTTTTAAACCTACACGTTGCCACATAGGCTTTCCTCCCTAATTAGCACTGACAGGTTCTTTTTAGTGGAAATATCCCACTCTCAGAGTACAAGAGGGAGCAGGTGGGTGGAAATAGATTTGGATCATTTGCTAGACAGGGAAAGAGAAGCTAACAGTGCTAACGGCATATGGCTGTGAAGAGAATATTGAGCAAATGAGTCCAGGGCAGTGAACTGATACAAGTCAACAGTGGATTTCAGTAATAACATAGGCTGCTTATTCTAAGGGAACCGGAACATTTTAGATCTTAAGATTTTCCCCAAATCAGGGTCATATTGATTCATCCATGTTCTTAGTTCTGGCATTGGAGATTATTCTGGTAACCAAGGCTGCCACCTCTCAACACCATTGTTCACTCCATGTAAGTCTTGGCTAGCCAGAGTTTCTTGGTGTCTAGGCAGTTTCCAGAGTAAATCTTCCTTGATTCCACTGACTTTGTGGCCCTTAACTCAGAATGCCCATTTGGTTTTCTGTCCCTTTCCCCATCTCAGATTTCCAGAAGGCCATGAGTTTACCCTGCTATCACTAGAAATTCACATGTTTAGCCCATGGTAAAATTCAACTTAATTAGATCCCTTCAAAAACAAGCTAGGAACCTATTGGGTAGTTTTAGTAGCGTCAGCCCTATTCTTTGGTCCAGAAGAGTCCCATTTATTTAGTATGATTTTGAAATGATGGATTCAAGCCTATCACACAGATATTCATATTGCAGCTTGCCAGAAGATCTCCCGTTCCTACTATTGGTGTAAAGAATCATTTGGCCAGGTTCAAGTTTCAAGTAAAAAAACTCATTTGCAATTTGCATTCAGTTTCTGTATGACATCCAAATATATTAAAGTTAAGATAGAGTTCTATCAAACTTGTTTTCAGTTTTGACACATAAAGAGCTTGAAAGTTGTCACTCTCTTATCACAAGAAAACTGAACTGAAAAAAAAAATCACTTGTTTTTCTTGGACCTATTAGATAGTACAGGGCAAACCATCACCCTCAAATCTTGAGTAATTGGTGGATCCATATTATCACAGCTGAGATCTTGCCTGGAGCAGAAATGGCTAAAGCATAAACTAGAAGGAATACTCAAATAGTAATTTTGAGGAATTACTGGTTGTCAAGTATGAAACTAAATTCGCAGGGGGAAACTCCTGGGGAGTACAGATTTTATGGGGGGCCCATAACTTCTTGGGCTTTATCTCCAGGAATGCCATCAGATTCTCATGGTAAAGAGCTTAAATGGATGCCCTAGTGTCTCTTGACTGTGAGCAGGAAGTGTGACCATTGTGAATTATGCCCAGAGTATTTTCCATGATAAATGTCTACTGTACAGAGGTAAAGGACTTTATCAGAGTCTTAGTCCATGTTGAGAAAAGGCATTTCTTCTACTTAATCCAATGTAGACTTCCTTTTTTACCTATGAAGAGAAAAATAAAGCTAAGAAAAATAAAGCTAAGAAATGCTTGTGAAGGGCACATCCAAGGGACACAGGCCCATCAAAAGACTGAGATTTCATCATAAGATTATAGATTTCTTCCCCTTCCCAATACCTAACCAGCACAGTGACAGGGCTCCAATGTGATGACACTGGATTGCAGTTGAAAGAGTAGCAAGATGCAGACTCTGTCTTAGAAGGAGTACTTAGGGAAGTCCAAAGTTAACATTGGAAGCAAAAACAAAGACAGTAGGGGAGTTTAAAGCCTCTGGCACTTAAAGCTACAGTGAACATTAAACACAG